TAAATTCTTCTACGTGGTGTCACCTTAAGAGATTGCAAAATTCTATAAGTGGCCTATGAATTGGCTTCTGTTGCACAGTGCATAAATTGGCCGACCAAACCAACAACAGATGTAATATCTTGCCTTGCATGAGACATAAATTGATTTCCCAACTAAGCATAAAATACTTGTAGATTTACACTATCTTGTATATTTACAAGTTGTCATAACCGTGTCGTTAAGCAAATCTATAACATTTTCGTTGAGAAATGAAAATTGCTTTCTTGGAGCTCCTAAAAATATTTCAGCCTCTTAAGAGTTTTTATCTCAAACTGCAATGCTAAATGTTGACTTAAGAGTTGTTGTTCCTTCCATTTATCATCAGTGACAATGATATCATCCACATGCACTACGTTGCTGTCAGTGCACCTGTCTTTAAGTGTGTGAAAAATAAATTGTGATCTCCTTAGCTTTGTTTGTGAGTCCTGCTATACTTAATATAATCAGATCCTTATTATTCTTGGATATAATTAGTTTCTTATGATTCAAGTATATTGACATTACGCACTTTAGTTATAATCTGTGAAATATGGAATAATAAATTGTCATTGCTGACAATACTGTTGTTTCTCTAGCTAAATCAGTATATGGATGACGTAAACATCTTGTTTGTTGGACTGTAATATCTGTAGATTTGTTTACACAGTTAATGTGTCTAGCAGTTAGATGTCTAATATCTTAATAGACTTAATATAATCAGATCCCTATTATTCTTAATATAATCAGATCCCTATTATTCTTGGATATAATTAGTTTCTTATGATTCAAGATATTGACATACGCCCTTTTTTAATATCTGCGAAATATGAATAATAAATTGTTCATGCTGACAATACCTGTTGTTTCTCTAGCTAACTCCTGTTTTAACAAATGTGGGATGAACTGTAACAATCTTGGTTGTTGGAACAAAATTTAATTCTGACTGGAAAAAAACAATAAATTGGTTTACAAAACCCAAAAAACTATAGAAGAAATGGGAATACAAATATTTGAAGCCTACATTGGCTTTGACAATGCAGGGACAATAACTGAGGAGAACTACTTCTGTAAATTGTACCTTTCTTGGAAGAAACTTGGTAACTAACTTGGAGAAGTAAAATGCAAAATGTTATAGCATGATCTAGTGTTAAATCTGAATTTCGAGCTATGATAAAAGGTATATGTGAATTTGCTTTGGCTGAAAATGATCTTATAAAACTTGAAGATTAATTGGGAATGGACCTACGAAGCTCTATTGTGATAATAAACCACAATAGCCAATAATCATGCTCAGCGTGATTCAACAAAACACAATGAAATGGACAGACATTTTTTAAAGGAAAAGTTGGACAGATTTGATTTGTACTCCACATGTACCTTTCTTCACAAGGTCAACATGCAGATGTTCTTTTTAAAGGATTGAGAAGTATTATAGAGATGTAAAAACATTCAGTTATTGAACTGGATGTTAGTTCATGTTTACCTTTCTCTTCCATATTCTTTTCTAATATGCAGCCCGGTTTTTTATTAATATGCAAGCAAGGAATGGAAAAAAGTCTTTCTCCAGCCTGACGGGGATGTTGTAATAGTTCTTATTTTTTCTAAGTATTTGACTAGGTCCAATGTACTTTAGGAAGTTGTAATAGTTCAAATGTTCTCTTCAAAAGACTTGTAGTACCTATGTAACACTTCTGATTATTAATAGATCAATATGCTGGGTGGAAACCCAACCCAAGCATATTCAGAAAATAAGCCCTTCGTCTCTCTTCTCAAACTTCGTCTCTTTCTTTTAACAAATATCAATACAAATCTAATACAACTAAACATGTTTCTTTGATCCTTATATTCTCCACATCCAGAATGCCAGACATTTCTTCTTTGATGAAACACGTATGACAAAATTGAATTAATTTGGATAACATGTCTCTAATGAAAGCTCTCCAAGTTCAGACTTTCAAAATGCAATTGAGCTAAGGAACCAACAATTTCAAAACTAGTTCATAATTGATTTTATAAAAAAACAAGCCTACTATATTTATCAGAAAGAGAAAAAAAATTGGGCACTTTAGGATGTCTGTAAACATGAAATTGATGGAACATGTGTGAAAAAAGAAGGAAGATAACATGCAATATTAGACTTCATCTCATAATTATTGGCCACTGACAAGGAGCTGCGTCAAAGCTAAGTAAAAAAAGTTGATAAAGAAGAAGCAACATTTGAGACAAGAGCTCACCTCGTGACCAGTGTAATCAATTAAAATATGCTTCTGTAATAGTTTCCATGGGTCTAATTCCAAGGGAAACTGCATAGAAAGAAGAGTGCATGGTATCAATTACAAAGTCGCTGGAAGAAAATACACACACACAAACCGTTACAAGAAAGAATTGATATTGAGATCTTAACGACGTCTGAATTACGTAAGTTGAAGCATTTAAGAATAGAAAGAGACAAAGGATGGCGATTGTTAGAAACATCCGAAAATCAAATATGTCCAATGAACAATAACAATGCATTAAACTACTGATGAACATTAGATCCTAATTTCTTGAAAATTAGAACTGACACAGGTAAAATGAAAACATTTAATATTTAAATTAATACCAGACAGTTAAAGGTTAAGGCAATCATAAATCATGTAATTCCTACAACGCTGGAGATAATATTTCCTTGTACAGTTTTAATTACATTCCATAATTAGGAGAAGAATTTGTTGGATTAAGAGGCTAACAGATTTTATACTTACTGCACAGGATCTATCATAATTTAAGATTTTCCAGTATTAAGTCTTTTATATTCTATTTAAGAGCAATTTCTTTTCTATGAATATTATCAGAAATAGTTTTTCTGAAATGGTACCAGAGCTCTAAAATCCTTGGGAGCCTGTGTAATATCATGCGCAGCCTGCACTGTGGCAAAACCACGCCCATTTCTTTTTTTCTATCTATTCACCTGCGCAGCCTACATTACTGCAACACCACACCCCTATCTTTCTTCCAATGTATTTTTTCTTGGCCTACATTGTTATACTCCAAAGCTCAAAAATGTCCAATACTCGGAAAACTCTTAACCAATTACACAATTTGGAATGCAGCAGATGCAGTTGTACTATCATGGTTGTGGAATGTCATGACACCATAGGTGAGTGGTGCTTACATGTACATGAAGACAGCTAAGATGGTATGGGACAGTTATAAAGCAAATTATTCCAAAGTTGGTGATGTTGCCAAAATCATTGAGATTATTAAGATGAGAGTCTCTAATACATAACTCAATCATCTATACTGGGTTTATACTTATAGACCCTGTCCAAGCAACAAAAGAATTGCACTTGCAGATGGAACTTTCATCATAGTTACCGGAAAAGGAGATATGATAAACCAGAATTCAATTCTGAAGGAAGTTTTGCATGTGCACAACTTGTCTGCCAATTTGATTTTTGTTCACAAGCTTACAATGGATTTACACTGTTCGGTAATTTTTAATCCTATAACTTGTCAATTTCAGGATCAGGGAACAAGGAAGCTAATTGGACTTGCTAGGGAAGACAATGGGCTTTTACCGCCTAGAAAATGTTAACAGGATGCATAGCATAAGAGTCAAATTCCTTTGTCTTTGCTGTCAGAAACAACTTTCTACAATGAAGAAAAAATTTAGTTATACCACCTTCATTTAGGTCACCCATCATTCAGTGCCCTAGAAATTATGTTTCTAATTTATTTCAAAATGTTGACATACAAATGTTTAATTGTGATACATGTATATTTGCAAAGCACAAGTGTGTTGACTTTCCCTATAGTAACAAAAGAATTATTGTTCCCTTTGCATAAATATACAGTTGTGTGGGGACCCACTAAAATTTTGAACTTATCTGGGGCTAGTCGGTTTGTCATATTCATTGTCGATTGCACTCAAGGACTATCAATATTTCTCTTGAAACAAAAAAGTGATGTGGGCCAATTTTTCAAAAGCTTCATCCAAATGATTAAAAATCAGTTTGGGTCAACCATTAAAAGAGTTCATCTAAATAGTGCCAAAGATTGTTTCAACCAAACACTGTCCTTCTTCAATGAACAAGAAGTAATTCATGAATCTTCTTGTGCAAACAACCCACAACAAAATGGAGTGGCAGAATGAAAAATTTGGCAACTCATAAATGCAACTTGAGTCTCTTTTCTCTATAAAAGTGGCACAAAACAGTATTAGAGCGAAATTGTCCTTACTGATACCTATTTGGTCAATCTTCTACACTCCATAACACTAAACAATAACAGTCTCATTCAACTATTTTCTAATTTATTCCTCAACCTTGGAACAACAAATCATCTTGTACCTCAAGTTTTTGGCTATGTATCCTTTGCTCATGTTAATTATAATCATAGGGGGAAACTTGATCCTCAGATTATTAAGTGCAAATTTATTGGTTACTCACCTACCCAAAAGGGATACATATTAAAGTCATTGTAAATTTTATCAATAGGAAACAGTTATAGAAGACAAAAAAAGAATAAATCGAGTTGGATCTTCCATGCTTCTAAGGACCAAAAAACAGTTTAAAAAGAATAAAATTCCAACAGAGAGCACCTAATATTTGTCATTTTACAATTGAAATATAAAATTAGAAAATATCTAGATAGGATTTTCACCTCAACTCCTAAATAAGCAAGTATTGAAAAGCGGACTTTGGAGCCTCCAGCTGCAGCTATTTGCTTATATGCATCAATAATACGCATAAAACATGACTTTTGCAAATGATCCGTTTGTTCATCTTCAAGTTCAACAACAGGAGCAATCATCTTTGGCAAGACTAAACGGGAAGGCAACACAACTGAAGTAGCTGTTGATGACACCAAGCTGTTGACATCTCTAACAGCCGCTTTTGGGCTCAGATCCTCAGATCTATCTGTTGATATTGATGGAGCTAAGTTCAGGGGTGACCTCAGATCCAAACTTGTATCTTGCTCTTGGCTGCCATCTTCTAGGCCCACTTCAGTGGAAGCCAATAAAGAAGGATCAAAAGTTTGTGACAAGGCATCACTACGACCAAAAGAATCCAGGCCAGGAATTCCACTCTCTGAGTTTCCAACATCATGGATGTCAGGAGGCATAGTTGTACAGCCATTCTCAACTCCAGGTATACTAGCATCAGAAGTTGGAAAATCAGTAGGAGATGGTACATTTTCAGATACAAGATTCATGCCAGAGTGAACAGCACCACTATTGACAGCAGTTGCAGAAATTTCTTCCTCCCCTTGTGACTTCTGTAATATATATCAAAGTCTTACTAAATAAACACTTCTCAGAAATATGCTAAAAAGTAGGCAGATCAAATGTATAATGAAAGGGAAAGATAAGAAAATGTAAAAATAAAAGTTAGGCCTAAAAGGTTGACAGATGTTTAATTAATTATTATACCTCAACCTCATTTGAAACTGATTGTTGTGCATCAAGAAGGGAAGCTATTGGTGGAAAAGTACTAGACAGTGACATAACAGCAGCTACAAATGATGGTGGATATTTAGCCTTGTCATCAGAACCAATCATACTAATGTCTTGCAGCTGTTCATTTCCTTCAGTATTAGGGAAATTTGGAGGTAAGTTTTGCATATTTGCCATCACCACCTCAGCTAGCAAGTCAGCAGAAATACTTGAGATGAGAATCTCAAGATGCCCAACAGCTTTTTCACCTTGAGCAATCAAAGCACCAAATGTGGCAACAAGTTGCCTTACGGGCCCATTGTCCGTATCTCCATTTGAAGATGCCGGTACATTTGAAGGAGTCTCATCCTGATAGTTGGAGGTGGTACGTTCATCCAACTCTTGGCTAGGTTNATATTTAAGAGCAATTTCTTTTCTATGAATATTATCAGAAATAGTTTTTCTGAAATGGTACCAGAGCTCTAAAATCCTTGGGAGCCTGTGTAATATCATGCGCAGCCTGCACTGTAGCAAAACCACACCCATTTCTTTTTTTCAATCTATTCACCTGCGCAGCCTACATTACTGCAACACCACACCCCTATCTTTCTTCCAATGTATTTATTCTTGGCCTACATTGTAATACTACAAAGCTCAAAAATGTCCAATACTCGGAAAACTCTAAACCAATTACACAATTTGGAATGCAGCAGATGCAGTTGTACTATCATGGTTGTGGAATGTCATGACACCATAGGTGAGTGGTGCTTACATGTACATGAAGACAGCTAAGATGGTATGGGACAGTTATAAAGCAAATTATTCCAAAGTTGGTGATGTTGCCAAAATCATTGAGATTATTAAGATGAGAGTCTCTAATACAAAACAAGGGAAACTCAGTCAGTTTGCCCATACTCAAGCAATGCCTTAAATTCCTCTAAAGAATGTGCCTAAGTAGTTGATTCTGGAACCACAGACCACATAACTCAATCATCTATACTGGGTTTATACTTATAGGCCCTGTCCAAGCAACAAAAGAATTGCACTTGCAGATGGAACTTTCATTATAGTTACTGGAAAAGGAGATATGATAAACCAGAATCCAATTCTGAAGGAAGTTTTGCATGTGCACAACTTGTCTGCCAATTTGATTTTTGTTCACAAGCTTACAATGGATTTACACTGTTTGGTATTTTTTAATCCTATAACTTGTCAATTTCAGGATCAGGGAACAAGGAAGCTAATTGGACTTGCTAGGGAAGACAATGGGCTTTTACCTCCTAGAAAATGTTAACAGGATGCATAGCATAAGAGTAAAATTCCTTTGTCTTTGCTGTCAGAAACAACTTTCTACAATGAAGAAAAAATTTAGTTATACCACCTTCATTTAGGTCACCCATCATTCAGTGCCCTAGAAATTATGTTTAAAAATTAATTAAAAAAAATAAAAAAAAAATGTTTAATTGTGATACATGTATATTTGCAAAGCACAAGTGTGTTGACTTTCCCTATAGTAACAAAAGAATTATTGTTCCCTTTGCATAAATATACAGTTGTGTGGGGACCCACTAAAATTTTGAACTTATCTGGGGCTAGTCGGTTTGTCATATTCATTGTCGAATGCACTCAAGGACTATCAATATTTCTCATGAAACAAAAAAGTGATGTGGGCCAATTTTTCAAAAGCTTCATCCAAATGATTAAAAATCAGTTTGGGTCAACCATTAAAAGAGTTCATCTAAATAGTGCCAAAGATTGTTTCAACCAAACACTGTCCTTCTTCAATGAACAAGAAGTAATTC